ATAATCCATAACTTGTCATTCGAAAAATATTTGTAAATTTCATCCAATAAAAATTTGGGAAAAAATGAGATTACACCTAGATATTTATATAAATGTTCTAAATGTTGTACTCATTCCCTTTTTCCTTATTGCTATGCTTTTTATTTGCTTATAATGCTCATATATTCATATAATTTCTAAATGTTGTCCTCATTTCATTATCGCATTTTTTTCATTTGCTTATAATGCGCATTTATTTCTTTTGTTTTGGCTCGTTTTCTCCTTTGCATTTATGTGTGTATTGACTGGGTCGGTTTTATCATGAGGGTTTGATCACTACGATTAAATTCTTGTTGTTGACTTGCATTGTGAATAATTGAATAAGAAATCTATGATTATTTCAACCAAACTTGTTGTGACTTGCCGATCATACCTATGAATTTCCAAATCCGTGAAAAATTGTATTATCTAAACATCCCAATAAAACGAAAAATAAAGGTCGTTGATCTGAGCAAACTCAACTAAAGATGAAATTTGTATCATAGTTTTGTAAAAAAGTAAAAAATAACCTAAACATATATATACTTTTGTGCTCAACTAAGAAACTTTGTTAATTCGTCTTTATCTTATCATATGGTTTGCAACAGCTCTTCAAACGGCAATACCCACTATAGTATACTTTCCACTTTTGGCTGAGAGCTCAGGTCGTTGATTTGAGCAAACTCAACCAAAATGAAATCTGGATCATAGTTCTGATCGGTAGGCATGACGGGCTTGGTTGATGAATTTCATTTGTGTTGAGGGTTTGATAAAAACTTCTCATTACTTCAAAAAAACTAAAATTTAAAGTACATTTATTTTTGTATATAAACCGGTTACTTTATATCTGATTATCTATATTATCGGTTTTCAACCTATTCCATGAGAGGAATCCTAATGAGATATTACAAAGGATTGGATACCCTCATAAAATAGTTTAAATGTCTTTTATTGTTCAAATTGTAAGAACTATAAATATAAAAGTGAACCTAATATTGTCAAAACAAAATGTTATTTAAAGTGTAGCAAGTATATACAGAGTGTCCATAAAGTACCTTTACAATTTCAATTTTGTCACGAAGTCAGTTCTCAATAAATCTTAACCAGGTTTGTTGTTTTTAATCAGTAATTGTTTCAAGTATTTTTAATTCATTTATTACATCTGTGAGGGCCAAAACAATATATGGTATAAATGAATTTCCTTTCCAATTTAAAAAAATAAAGACTTCATGGACACCCATATATATTTAAACAATATACCTATATTAATATATCCTCACATATTGTATTGTAAACCTGCGAAACCCCAGGTTGAGAACCGCTGATCTATATAAAGCATTAGACTTTCTTTTTAGCACTCTGTAGCCCCCTAGTGTACACCCAGCATACATAATTTGTAGCATAAATTTTTATGGGTACGTAACACTGAAATCTTTGTCTAATTCATGCTTTACCTTATGATTAGATTTACAAATGAGAATTTTTTCAAGAGTCGTATTGTTCACCTAATGTCGGGGAACAAGCTCTCTATAATACAAGTAAAAAAAATAACCTAAACGTGTATATACTTTTTGTGCTTATTAAGTTTGTTAATTAATTTATATATTATCATATAGTTTGCATTAATTCTTTGAACCACACTACCCACTAACATCAAGGGTAAGTCTAACGAGACGAGACTAAAAAAAATTTCTTTATTGCATTCATGCTTCCATCTAAGTATGCAATATTTATTGCTTAATTTCACTTGTTTTCGTTTGATATATTAGCCTTTAGAGCCGTGCTGTTGTAGTAACTTAAACAAAATCGTTTCTTAATACTTGTTTTAGTGTATATCATGATATATTCTCTATATTAACCAATAAGTAGATAATTGAATCTAAAAATAGTTTGAAATAATCCAAAACCTGATCTACATATATTCACTGCATCATAATATCAAGTTTGTGTCTCTTTTTAGAACAATTTTTTAGGTTTTCCATCATCCAGCCACCTAGTGGTTGAGAAAATAACTTCATTTTAACGTATACAGATTTAGCGCATTTATTCTTCTATATTGATATGCAAAATTTATTGCTAATTGTTCTTCCGATGCTGTGCTGCATAGGCCTACACAAGTAATAAATTACCAACAATCATATCTGAACTCTTGTCATACCATATATACCAGGCTTGTAAGAGATATAATCTCTATATTAAAAACCTTGTAATGCTATATTCACCTGGTGATATGTATTTGTTGAATAGTACAGAGTTAAAAATGCTAAAAATCCAAAAATATACATTTACTGCTGCAACGTTTTTAAAATGTTTTTTTTAGTTTCACTACGTTTTCCTACGTCTTTGTAGTTGTTTTATTTTCAAGTACACACTTTTATAAACTAAAATTTCACACAGCCTTTTCATTATATTAGTTCAACAGTCAAGACATAAATGTGCAGCAACAATTTTCACTGATATAATTTGCATACTTTAATGAAATATAATTCTGACACACCCAGATTTTTCATTTCTTCATGCTTCATTTTTTTGTTGATATATTTTTAAGAAAATTGTGAATTTAAAACAAATTGTCAAACAGAACTGACTTAACAAGAATATTAAAGCTAAATCTTAAGGCTTTATAATGTTATGCATATATTTATTCATACTGTGCTTCCACTACACGCTGTGACCTTAATATACAAATTATATTGTTATTTCCACTGTTGTGTTCTGTGTATGCAATGTGTAAAATGTCCATTTTCAATGCCTTCATGTTATACCCAGCATTTTTCTTCATGTATATATTACGCAAAAAAAATTTTCACATAGATTGTGTCATGTGTGAGTATTGTTGAAAAAGGTGTTGGAAATTTTAGGATAGGGAAAAGATTTCCATATTGATTCTAAGGGACAGCTTAGTGAGAAACACAACCTCTCAACCGGTTACCAGTTATTTGTTCCGGATGCATGGACCTGATAGTCAAGGAAACTGACCAGCGGTTACATCAACTGCCCTATGGCTATGACAACACGCGATCCTCGTAATTATTTCCCTTGAGACTTGAACCTGTGTACCCGTGCAGGATTATAAGAGGTGCATGTTCCTTACAATTACTAAGGCCAATATCAATGGCGAGCCTTTGAAAAAAAATCTACCGTAAGTGTTTGTAAAATCTTGGCAAAGTTTTTTTTTTCTTGGCAATTATGACTGCCAAAGGATGCCCTGATGGCTCAACCATATGACAAACTAGAATTATTGTTTAGTTAAGGAACATGATAACGGTCAAATATTTTCAGAAAAAGAAAACTGATATTTACAAACAAGAAGAATGAAAAAAAATTACAGTACAGTACCTCGATTACCGATCAACGAGAATATCAGTCGGAGACCGAAGACTTATCGATCGAAACTGCAGTTTCGATTCATGACTCTATAGTGACACCTTGTGGTCCCATCACTAATTAATTAATACCTCGCTAATTATACGACATAATTCATACAAAATCAATAGGCTTCTGGTCCGAGATATGATGAATGTACATGCAAAGTATGCGCACCAGGATGTCGCATAAACTGGTACACAACCTGAGTTCAGGTTGTGCGCCATCTTGGTGCGCATACTTCAGGAGGTCCGAATACTTTTATACTTATGTTGAAAGAGAGGTGAGCTAAAAAGATGTGATGATATAGGCAAACCCTCAAGTACAGTCCCTTGATTATCTATCCAGACTAGATAACCCATTGGTTACTAATCCAGCAAGTTTAATTCGCTCCAATGCAGGGATTTGACAAAGATATCCATAGTTTGTCACACAGTCACAACAAAAAATACTCAGCTGAAAGAGAGGTAAGTAAAGCCTACAGCACGGGTCGGCAACCAACGGCCCGCGGAGTAACATAATCCGGCCCGCGATGCTTCACTGAATTATAGTGTAACAAAACAGCTGTTGTGACGATTATATTTTTCATGATGAAAAATTCATTTGACGCGTGCAGACTCAATTATATTATAATCTGACACGTATAAAATACACAATTACTCGCTCAATGAGCCTATAATTAGATTATAATTGGACAAATGGCAACAAAATGCAGAAAAGTTGATGCTAGGTACAAAGGGTTTAATGGCGCCGAAAATGCAATGCAATGAGGCAATAAATCTATATTCTATTCGAGAAATCTATCCCTGCTTTATTTCTATTATAAAAAGTATCATCCGTTCGGTTTTCAACTTTCTAAAAATATGTGCGGCCCACCAATGACCTGCAACCCTTATAATGGCCCACGAGCGACAAAAGGTTGCCGACCCCTGGCCTACAGGATGAATTGATAGAAGGACAAACCTTCAAGTTCATTCCATTGACCTGGATGATCTGGGGTGCGCAACCTTTAATACAGAAGGGTCATTTACAAATAACTGGGTAAAACCGCAGGCCGCACCCTTATTTAACATATGCTTTCTTCCAGTAGTAACACACATAAACATGTTGGTCATTGATCTTATGATATGCGTTGTTTTCTTCGCACAAGATCAGGTATAAGCTTTGGGATTGGAATTACTTGCATGCACCAAATTGGCACTTCTCTGCAGGCCGCACAACTTTTCCTTGTGGGCCGCATTTGGCCAGCGGGCCACAGGTTGCACAGTGCACACCCGTGATCTAGATGCACACCAATAGAACTAGTAAGCAATTCCAATTTGATCTAACAATACTCCTATGTAATCCAAGCGAGAGTCTGTCATACTCCATATAAACACCACACAGCATACCTTTGTGAACTTCACTAAATTATGCTGAGCTCAGCAAAATAATTTTGTGCATCCCCTTAATAAGCTATGTGCACCAGTGGGCAAATCCGAATTATTCTAACAACTCTTATATGTAATCCAAGTGAAAAAGTCTACCACACAGCATACCTCTGCAAACTTCATTAAATTATGCTTGGCTCAGCAAAAAAAACTGTTGAAAAATAAGGTTAAAATGATGACACAAACCTCAGATTCCAACATTCTGTCCAATCTGAGTTGTTGTGGATCTGGTGGTTCATCTTCTGGGGGTGACCTCATGCTAAGAACTGAAAAGTAAGAAGGGATTAGAGTCGAGGGGAGAGCAAGATTTTTGGACCAGGAGCCATAAGTAAGTGTGACGTGAAAGTAACATTTTATGAACAATATTTACAATAACAATATGAAGTCAGTTCTTAATAATATATCTCAACCAGGTTTGTTGTTTTTCAATTAGTAATTTTCCAAGTATTTTTACTTCATTTAATACATCTGTTGGGGTCGAAACAATATATGATATCGATAAATTCCCTTTCATCATCATTTCCGATTCCCCAGTTCTTTAGAATTTCGGTGATATTGATAAGACTGAATTTACTAAACAATTCACGAAAGAAACCCCTAAACAATTCTATTTATACTGGGTTGTTTTAATGCACAAAAAGTGTGATAATTCATCATATACCATAGCATCGCATAAAACCACCTAAAATTGGTCCAAAAAAGGTGAATTTATAAAAATTCGAAGTCGTCCCTACAAATCGTAACATCGTACGCACCTTCCACAGCAAATACGGTAGTTGCTTTAGTGGGATCAGAGTTATGAATGCATAAGCCGACACTATGAGTTGTCATTTTTTTTAAACTCTGCTTTTATGCTAGGATATATGGTAAAATGTGCAACAAGCCAAAAACTCGGGGATACCTGTAAGTCTTTTTCATATAAGAGTGAGTGCATGTGACTGTAACCTACCTTTGGTCAAATTATCAAAATAAAGGTGGATAAGTATATTAACAAGCAACATGTCAGTTGAGATGAACATTTCTTGCATTTCTGAACTTGTCAAGCATGATTGCTGTCATTCTGTTATTATAATTCAACCATACAACACAAGTTGTCAGATTAAGCTTATTGGCAAAGGAAGTCATTCACTGTACAGGAAACAAGGCCTGCTGTAGGTATTGTTGTCTTTGTGAATGACAAAATACTGTTGAAGCCTTCGTAGTTACAATCAGGAGATGTCAAGAATAAAGCAAAATATCTCATTTTATTTCAAATAAATTACCGGTATATTAAACACTTTATAATTGAAACTTTTGAATTTGGAATTTATTTAGAATAAATAATCATTTTGAAATTACTGTTTAATCAAGATGGATCCAATTTAATATTATATGAGATATATTCGTTACTTATAATTTTAAAAATATAGACGACCAATCAAATCATTTGTTTTTTTTTGCAAATCCAAATTAAACTCATTGGATATACAATAACTTCTATGTTTTCGCTGTTGAACACGATTTAAAATATATGCGATACTTTATCAAAAATATTCGTTCAGAATACATTTGGGATTAAGGAATATTTAGTTTAGTCAATATCTAGTCATCTCCGTGTAAATTGGTATAATAATGTTAATGGCAAAGAGAAAACTGCTAAATGAAGTTTTAAGTTCTTGTTCAAAATTTCATTTAAATATTTGTCTTTTAAAATATAATGCACCGATGTGGTCGCATATCATGTTGATACCCAAAAAATTGATTAAAATTCTTGGTAATGCATTATTCCAAAACAAAAGAATCAATATACAATTGTTACATCATGTCTATGTCATAATAAAGATGAACTACCTTGAAGACATCATAATACCTCATTCATCAAAATGAGACGTCAAAATGCATGTCCAATTGATTTCAGATAAATTTAATCGCTAGAAAAACAGATCAAATTTTAAAAACAAATAGACAAATTCGGCCAGTGATAAGCAATATATAATACATACCAAATGATTTTTATTATACGCAGATTTTCTTTGACTAAATAAGACTTTTTTTAATAGTCAAAATGTACAGTTTATCATGAAAATCAGTTTATCAAGAATTGACAGGTAGCAGCTGGCTTGTATTTAAGTGTTCCCCCTTTTAAAAAAATAAAATAATAATTCAAAGGGAACATAACTATAAAGCAGATGGATGTTTTACAGAGTTCAACCCAACAAAATCTAAAATAAGTTGTTTAAAAGGCATTCTGGATTAGGCTATATTTTATCTTTTGGTTTGAGTGCGACTAGAGTTATAAACGTATAAGTCAGAATTTCTAGTGCGATAAGAGTTATGCGCATATATGCCGATCCCTAAGTTTGGCAAATATTTTTTTGGTTCTGAACTCGGGACATTGCTTTGAGAAATTCTTTAAAAAAGCGCCTCTGAAAATTGATTTATGGGAGCGTGTCTACCACAAAATAACCCTGATAATATCGTTCGGCAATCTGTCACTGTCAGGAAATACTTCATCACAAAAATATGCTCAAACCTGTCTGGAACTTTACTTTAAGAAGTGAAAAGCATGGAAGCGTGAAACCGAAACTAATCAACCATAGAATGGAGTACAGAAACTGAATTATGATTCACCTACGATATTTAAAAATTTAGTAATAGGTAACATTCTACTTTTAACAAATACATTTTCTTGATGCACACTAACACGAATGTTGTATTTCTCTAACACTGGTCAGACTCCTTTACACCGCCTATTTTAATTGCCATGCTGTATTTAATATTTTATTTTGAATTTGCCAAATGAGGTAAAAACAAGAACAAGGGGTTGCTCAATATTATCGTACATTACAAATTTCAAATAGGTATGTAAAGACCTATTTTAATAAAGAAGCATGTAAATAGAGACAATATTTGGCTCTTAATCGCAGATACTTACATTAAGAATATTTTTTGTCTGTTATTTTTGATTGAACAACATTACACTTCATTCTTAAGATTTGCTTATTTGTGTGGCATTTCTGCTGCATGATTTGATTGTTTCATGGAGTGCTGTGTGTTTTAAAAAGCCGAAATAAATCGTAATGTATACCGGTGTAGTGAAATTTTAAAGAGTTGAATATTTTGGTGTATTGAGAAAATATAATTTCAGTTATCTAAAGTTTTAAAAAATTTTATTTTAGTACACTTCGACGCACCATGTTGAATTGTTTTGTTCAAGCCAAATTTTTGTACATTTGTAGTTCTTAGTCAGAAATCACAAAATGAGAGAAACCAGCCAAAAACAAGCTTCTCAATCTGGAGGCGCACAACTTATTTTAGGGGTTGCAAAGAGTACACCAATTTCACATAAAGTACTATAGCCTACAGTGTTCACTATTAGCGCACTTTTTTGCGAAAATTGCGAAACACTTTCGCAACTTTTTTTAGGGACTGCGAAATAGCACTTTTTTCCGATTTTGAAGAGAAAAAGCACTTTTTTCCGATTTTGAATGGAATAAAAATTCAAAGTTAACAAATATTTTCGAGTATTAAGTTGACAAATAAGTAACATACTAGTACTTTTGTAACTCAATTCTGCATATCATAACGATATTTACCGGAATTCTAACCTATGAGATGCAGACATAGGAGATAAAGCTTTTGCATTAACGGCAAAATTCTTGTTTATAATATGATTATTATACAAGCACACCGATTCCGCTTCTCCCGCAAAAAACGCTCCCGGGTGTTTGAAACCAGATGTTGGAATACTAGCAGTGCGTTTCTTTAAACGAGAGTGGTCATGTGACTATCAATGATATCGATGAATTCAAAATGACTATAAAAGTGTTAGTAACGTGTTATAGTCACTTTGGATGAATTGTGACCAAACTGCACGATTTTCAAATCAGACGAAACTTTTAGCAGCATGTCACAGATTTGCAAAATCACCAAATTCACAAAATACCATTAAGTGCCATTTTATTGTAATCACAATGTTGAAAGGAGGTGGCATTTTCCGGAATTTTGCGATATTTACACAACTATTTCTCATTGATATGCGAGGACTGGGCAAAATTCAATATTTTTTAATCGAATATTTTTAAGGAGTACCGAATAAACGTGGTGGAAACATTAAAAAATCGGCAACAAAGCCTTTTTACTGGTTAATTCCGTTGTAATCGCTAATTGTTCTTGTCACCGATCGTTTTGGCGGCGATATCCAGGTTTTGGGTAATCTATATTCCCGCCCTCTCTTTTTACAAATATGAATTCTTGTGGGTCGGCGGACATCGAAGTTTTATATTTCGGGTTTACCCGTTCGTTCACATCGGCAACAGCTGTTGAAGACATTGAGGACTCAAATTAACATTTGCGTTGGCTTTAATATTACCTATCAAGATTTGTAAATTTACCGTCCCAATTTTATGCGAATGGTAATATTATTGTCCATACCGTGATGCAGATATTTATTAAGACGATAATTAACTTTCTCATGTATTTCTATGGTGATAAACTTCGCAAATCTGAAATTGTGCCAATCCTGAATGTTGATTTAAAATAGTGATTGAATAATTCGGCAATAAAGGCATTTCTGCGTGGTCATAAGACGAGATGACGTTAATGAACAGCACTTCTTTTACAGGATATTTTACGTATGCGACTTAATGCTAAAAAGATTGGGCTCGAGTGCTTTTTTTTCGAGTGCTCGAGTGCCTAATAGAGGTCAGGCGCTAATTGTAACTAATTCCCTCAAGTTTCAACGTGTTTTCAACAAAACAATACCCCGGCGATAATTATAGCTAAAATGTTACCGAGCAATTCACAATTTTATTTATGGAATTTGCAAATTCACCAGTTTCTTGACGATTTTGATATTGTCACGCCCTAATTATTAGTGCAAAAAATACTCCCCTTCTTCCGCGGCGGTTTGACGGGTTCTTTGTTCCATTCTTCAGAAAGTTCTGACACGGGGATATAGAATACTGAATCCGGAGGGTTGAATCCCTGTCCACTTACTGGTGATTTTCCGTTTTGAAATGCGTGAAACATTCTCTATTTTAAATTAAATGACGTTTCGCGGGCTAGAGTTCTCCCCGAAAATGATGTGTTCCAGACGTTAGTTAGAAATATTAGATTAATTAATTTTCGTGACGCCCCGTTTTCGAAAATACAAAGTTATATCGCAAAAAAGCGTTATGATACATTTGGAATGAAACATTATTTACGGTTAATTCAGATCATATTTTACTCTTCATGACACCCGGTATCCGAAAATACAGTTGTATCTCGAAAAATGTGTTTTGTT